TATTATACTGTCCAGTTCAAAAGATATTGACTTTTATATTTGAACAATAAAACAATTATATAATGACATGTTTTTACAACGGGATTTTATTTTACTCAAGAATATTCGATTAATAAAATGTTTATATTTTGTTAAACATGATTTAAAAGCAGTGTTAAAGAATATAGAGTAGAAATTTTGAATTCAACCACCTTTCCACAGACCGTAACAGACGTTTTTGATGCATAATTATCGATTATATATCACTAGCCTCTCATGAAAGTATATAAACTACTTCCTTTTTGCAGTTCTACACTAACAATCTTCATAGTGATTATTATCCTAATTTTGTAGCACATTTCGTTCGATTATGCATAGTTTTTCTCATACGCATACTAGGTGAAATACTACAGGTATCGAGAGATCGACATATGAAAGTCTTTATGATTGTTACTGTTGAATACTAATAAATTCAGTTCTCCATGGACTTTCATAGAATACACAATTTATCGTTTATTTCATTTAATATGATAGCGACACTCTTCCCCTCTTCCTCACCTAGAACAATAGCTTTTTTTTATCTTGTACACCTGAAAAAAATATTTATCCTAAATGAAATATAACGCCTCTTAAATGGTCGTAAACGGTTTGAAAACGGCTAATGTTAAGATGATCGTTTACGGTACATCATAAAACGCCTAAATAATGCGATAAACGGTGTTCATTTACGTACCATCGAGAACGGCGGTCATTTCAAATGTTGTTTTTTTATCGTTATTAAACCTTATTCCGTGTACTAATGAAAGTTCTTCGTTTACACATCATGCAACAGATGAAAGCACACATATTATTGTTTTTTCTTGAAATCTACTTAGAAAATTGATTTATTCATCGAAAATCCCAGTAACTAATTACTATGTGAATATACAAGTTCTCCGAAGATCTTATACTATCTGATTAGAAACTTTTGAACTCTTTGATATTACTTAGATTTCATCAGGATCTTTTTTTATAGAATAAATTTCGTCATCAACTTGAACTATATTGTAACTTATGTTGATTTCATCAGCTGTTTTCCATTTAGTAGTGTTGTCTGTTTCATTATACGTGAAGCAGATTGATTTCCATTTGATTCTAATCGTGCCTTTTTCCCTTCAGATAATTTTATTGATCAGGTTCAATTATAAATTAGTTCCGTTAACATTAAATAATTTTTTTCTATTGTAAATTATTTTATTGTTTAGGGTAAATCGATTAGATGTTTAGGTCTTCAATCGGATTCGAGTAAGAAGCACATCCTTAAATATGACAAAACGTAATCCGTAGAAAGTAACTCACAATTACTGTGGTAGTACAAATCGATCTTCTATAGTATTTTTTGAATTTCTTCTATGCTTTCCTTCATATATTCTTGCTTTTTTTGTTAATCAGGTTTTGTCGTTTTATTCTCTATGAGCCTGAAATTAAAAAAATATATACGACATCTCTTAAAGATAGGTTTCTTCTACTGGAGTGATTGTAGCTTGCTTTTACAGATTACATTTTAGTGTTATTAAAAGATGTGCTCGTTACTCAAAGGCAAACCATGATGAAACTTTTTTCAAACATACAGTTAAGAAGGCTACCAGCATAGATTCTGATTAGATGTTTTTGTTTTATTTGACATATGTTTTAGCGGATGTAAAACGAAGCGACGTGTTTCCAGGAACTTTTGCATTATCTCTTATATTAAAAATTGTTTTTCAATGATTCATTGTGTGTAAAGTAATTCTATGGAAATATCTAGTAGCATTTTATCTTTGTTTTTGAGAGAAAAAAGTTATTTTCTTACTTTAAATTTTTCGACTTACATGTGAATCTATTAATTTTCGTATCAATAAATTATCGACGATCGATATCCGTTCGAGTAGTTTTTGTTCAATCGACTTCGCTTTATATTTTCTTGAACATCTTTGGTTTAAGATTAAACAATGATTACTTAGTATGTGTGCTCAAATATTGAACGAAAACACTTAGTTCTTCGTTCGACAGAGAATAATACAGTACAAAATTGATTTAATAACCTTGAGCTGTTTTTTTTATTGTATATTTTTGTCATTTGTATCTAATGTGTCGTCAAATAGATGACATGGACGACAAGAGTGCAAGCCTCTTATTAGGATCCAGCGAGACAATCCTGGAACGGTCACAAAAAGTTCTACCTGCTTCGATCTCTAGTTTTCGTATTTATAGTATTTCTTTTTGAAAATACGTTGTTCATCTACGTTTCTTCATCAATATAAATACTAAATTTATAAAAATTAATCTTCTCTTCATCTGAATTACCATATTGTACGGAATGATGCACATATCATATGTTGTACTATTCAATAGCTGATAAGTTTAAAACAAAATGAATAGCCAGAATCTAATTTTTATAGAACTATCAAAACATGGGAACAAAAAAAAATAGCCAAACATATATACTCTGTAAAAAGAATGAAACGACAAGTTGTTAGATATGAACAGACTATAAAACTATTTATCAGAGATGGAATTGGTTCATGTGTTTTCTCTAAGCCGCTCGAATTTTTCAAAAAAGTTTGAATCGAACCGGATCAAAACTTACGATAGGGTGACGAAATTATTAGAGAGTATAAGTTTTAAATAGGATCGATTCGAAACCAAAACGATTTCATCTTTATTATGTATGCTTTGTCCATCAAAGCATGACATAATGAAATTAGACAATGGTATTGATTTAAGAATAATATCCTATCAGAATATCTGAACATCAACAAGGTTAATGACAAACAGAAATATAATGCGTGTTATTTTATCTATATTTTTAAAATCATATGTACCGCATAGTTTGAATTTGTTTTTACTTGCAAAAGAAAGTTAATCCGAACAAAGCATCAAATAAAAAAAGAAAACTCCGTTTTGTATTATATTAATGTCTACTTGTATTTGGTTTTTTTTTTATAAATTGTCAATATTTTATGAAAAATAAAATTCATGGTGACATTCCGATCTTATTACAACTAAAAGCTTGTTTGATAGGAAGTTATTCATAATTATCTTCCTAATCTTCTTCAAAATCTTAAATTCTATCTTTTACACTGTCCTGTACGATGATCATATAGTAGTTTTTTGTTTTTAGTGTAGGGATGTATATTACAATACGATAATGATGTACATTTGTGGACATATTGTGAATATATTAGAGGAGAAAGTATACAAGATGAACCAAATATACTAGACAACGACCTTGAGGAGAGGATATATTGTAGAACTCACATTTATTTTTGAAGAAAAATGGTGAATGTAAGTGATAAATCGAAGTCTTGCGTCCTTCTTCTATTACAGACTTAAACAATCGAGGACAACTGATATAATACTCTTTGTCCAGAGCTCCTTAGTAGTGGGAAAAGGTACCGAACGGTCTTAAACACTATACTCAGATTGTTTTAGAAAATCTTAGACTTTTCAAGTCTTCGTCAAAATTTAAATGGCTGCAATAGGTTTGAGAATGTTTTAAATAGTTGAGTTTTTGATTTTCGCACAGATAAAAATTTATATTCAAAATGTCAAGTATGATTGTTCATATAAAATCTATTGGCGATGCGTCAATATATTGTACAAAAAAATTTTACAACGTTTTATCCATGCGACGAAATTTTCGGTCACTTACCTAATACTACTATTATAACATTGTCTAATATAATGGAAAAGTTTCGATCTAACAAGCCTTAATATTTTTCTGTCGAGTTCAAAACTTTATCAACATATTTTAAAATAATCGCTAGTTACTCCACATAATAACATAATATACGTTTTCTCAAATCTTTAACTTACCTTGTATCGTTGTTTTCGTATCAAGGTGTGGTTGATAATTGATTTACTAGTTTTATTATTGTATTTGATGTTATACTTTGAGAATAAATACTAATTTTAGATCAATTAAAATTCTTCAAAGGATAATTTTTCCTTTCTATACAATATTTAAATATGAATAGAATAGTGAAATAAATTGAATAATACATATTTCTCTTGAAAAGATCAATTGTCCTACCAGCGATTGTTCTGCTTTTTTGTGTAAAAATTAAACTCTTTCATATTTTGATTCATCGATGTTGACTACAAACTTACAGAACTGTCGCATATAAATTTTATCTGCATCCAGACGTAGTCGTTCTACGATATTGTATTACCAACTATATAAGCTACGGTTTTCATCAAAACATAGTATAAGTGTAATCTCATTGTATAAAGTTTCAGTTTAATCTATTGTCAAGTAATTGTTTTAGGTATGAAAAAAGAAAAATCATGTGTTTCAGTTTGACTCAAAATTACTCATACAATTCGTAAAAAAATAAATATAAATATCAAGTAATTTTCAGCTCGATGAAAACTTTATACAAGTATACTGCACTTATTACTCGTATATATTCGAATGAAAGTTGCAGTTACAGTTTAATTAGGTTCTAGCTGATGTATAATAGTTGCATTAATGTCGTCAAATGTATGAGAAATTTTCGATGCCACATTTTCTCAGAAAATAGCTAATTTCTTTAATAATCATCTATACGAATAAATTTTTGCTATTTGTGATAGAAAAAAGACGAAGCCTTCTTTACCAAAATGATAATTTTATATATTTGTTTCAGTGAACTTAACTAACAGGACTTTATGGAACAATTCAAAAAAGAACATTCCGGATGGAGGTTTTGGGGTTCGTAACACGAAAAATTTTGCTTCGAAATATTCTAATCATACTAATACAAACTATGAATACGATGTCATTAGATAAACTGTTTGCGAAAACAAAACTCTGCCCTTTATTGTTATCTTTTTCTCCCTTTCAATATGTTCTGTACTCAACGACCCGCACGTGTTAACAGCACGTCGTATATAATTAGGCATAAATTCAATACATAAATATATGCATATCTTCTTTTTTCTCCACATATTCAACTTATTTTAGAAATTATCATTGTCTTCGTCTATTATTTTTTTTTAATCTAGACAAAAATATTATAATGAATTTTGTATCAAAACTACAAGAGAAGGCATTAGGTGAAGCACCAACATCGTAAGTTTGTTTCTTTTTTTTCAAAATAATTTCATTACTTGCATTCACACTTATTGATCTTTATACTATTGCATAAAAAAAAGCAATATTATTTCATATAGTCAAAGATTCAAAATTAAAGAAAGTATATGAATTAAACAATTCATTGTTCATTCTAGAGTACCAACACAACCTCGCTATGATGAATCACGTAAACAACATGCTATTGTATGGCGTGGTATACGACATGTTGAATATGTCGAAAAACCAATGCCACTAATATCGGATCCACGTGATATTCTTCTCAAAATAACAGCTACTACGATTTGTGGATCTGATCTACATCTTTATAATAATACTATTATAGATATGCATGATGGTGATATAATTGGTCATGAATTTATGGGTATTATTCAAGAAATAGGTGATCAAGTACAAAAATTACATGTTGGTCAACGAGTTGTTGTTGCTTTTGATATTGCATGTGGTTCATGTGATTTTTGCAAGCGTGAAGAATATTCATGTTGTGATACTACGAATCCATCAAGATTAATGGAACAAATGTATGGTCAAAAGACGGCAGCTTTTTATGGTTATTCACACTTAACAGGTAATTTTGTCAAGTTTTTTTTTTTTTTTTAATAAAAAGAGAAATTTTTTTGTTAAGCCATAAAAACTATTGTAAAGTGATCGACTGAATCAAAATGATTAAAATATCGTGCATTTCGTTTATGTCTCTACACAGAGAAATCACAAAATTTCGTTTTTTTTTAACTTAACAAAAGTACATCATTGAGTTCTCTATGAAGATAGATGTTTGAAATCCTATTGCTTTATTAACATAATGATGTAATGTTTCAATATATCCGAAGTTTTCACCATTGATTATTTGGTACATATTTTTATATAAGATAAATTAATTAAAGACTTGCACGATAATACTTTGATTTCCTACTATAACATAGTAACAAGTTTTTTTTTTACAAATAATGAAGCAATGTATTATCAGAGAACAACAAACTATGCAGTATTGTAATCATTTTGACTCATTAGATATTTTATTTTTAACATATAAAAAATAACATCTCCTATTATTTTATTTTTTCATGAATAGGTGGTGTACCTGGTGGACAAGCAGAATATGTACGAGTACCATTTGCAGATGTTAATTGTCTACCAATTCCAGATGATGTACCAGATAATAAAGCACTTTATCTATCAGACATCATTCCTACAGCATATCATGGTTGTGAAATTGGAAATGTAAAGAAAGATTCTGTCGTAGCCATATGGGGTCTTGGACCAATTGGATTGCTTGAAGCACGTTGGTGTCAAATTTTAGGTGCTAAACGTATCATTGGTATTGATTGTGTTCCTGAAAGACTTGATATTGCTAGTAAACATCTTGGTATTGAAACAATTAATTTCAAAGAATATGATACAACAAAAAAACTTCTTGAAATGGTAATATTTTTTTCTTTTTTTTTTTTGTTGAATAAAAGAATCATTCATTTGTTTAGGTTCCTGGTGGTGTTGATTGTTCATTAGAAGCAGCTGGTTTCGATTATGCTAAATCACTTTTACATAAGATTGAACGTTTTCTTAATATGGAAACAGATGCTGGTGATATTCTTAAAGAAATGATAATTTGTACACGAAAAGCAGGTACAATATCACTTATTGGTGTTTATAATAATACAGTAAATCATTTTCCTATTGGACCAATGATGGAAAAACATTTAATTGTTACTGGTGGTCAATCATTTACACAAAAACATTGGAAAATGTGTCTAGAAAAAATTCGTTCAGGTGAAATGGATCCAACATTTGTTGTTTCACATCATATTACATTAAGTCAAGCACCTGATTATTATAAACAATTCGATAATAAAGCTCATGGAGCATTAAAATGTTTTATTAGACCAGATAATGTTATAGAAGGAAAATAATGTAGATAGTTAACTATTGTTTTTTTTATAATCTAGCATTATGTTTAATTTAGCCATTTTAACTTTTAATAAAGTAAATATTTATCAACCGATATATTTATTCGATATCATTAGAATCTGTATATTTAAAGTCTATTTTATTGTGAATGGTAAATGATTTCGTTTCCCATATTTTTTTAGATAGATTTTTACAAATTAGATAAATTATGTAAGTTAATGTTAATATATCAGAAGAATTTCAACAAAGTGATTTACAACAAAAAAAACATTAACTTAAACTTGACAACTTGGTATAATCTATATTACCATGATCTAGATCAAAGTTTACCTAATTGATTTTTTTTGTGAATTTACAACTTTTGTTGCAAAAAAAAAACAATTGCTCAATCTATAATATTATTGATGAATTACATGCTGTCTTTTTATAGAAATAACTATCAAACTGAAGCATAATGTCACAAAGATCGATAAATGCAAACTGTGTTGTACAGAATTATTCTATACAAAAATTCTATGCAATGTGAAATAAAATCAAATATTATATGAAATGTCAAAGAAAAATAAAAATTTTAACTAAATTCGTACCATAAGAATATCTTAGTTTTGATTTGTAGTACTTTTGTGCCATATTTACATCGTACGGTATCATCATTCTAATAATTGTTCAGTTCAACTTGGATATTAATATCATAATGAAAATTCATATTGATCAAAGAAAGTTTATATTTATTTTGCTGAAGTCATTTAATAATAGTTCTTGAGAGTCGAGTTCTTTTTCCATGCGTAAAAAATATGAACTGTAGATAATGAAAGACTTTGGTATGAACCGTACGAAACAGTTGATTTAGATGTACATAAATGAGTCGAAGAATTATCTAATGGTACAGATGTTGATGATAAAACGACAGAAGTGTTGCTACGAGCTAGTACAATTGAAGAAAACAGCGATTAAGTGAACTCACTGATCTTGTTAATTGAGACCTTTTCAAGTAGTTTAATCGATGATTCAACGCCTCATGAAATTAAATTTATCCCGCTGTACTTTTCTATACTCATACTTTCGCTATAATTTTAACAATAGATAGAACCTTTGCAAGAAGGATTCGTTTTTCCTCTCTGATACAATGAGTCGCGCTCACACACACTACGAAAATGATATCCAGATCATTTTTCGACTGTGTACTGTTTGTTCAGATCGGTTCTATTTTAAACTATTCTATTATGATAAATATATCTTATTGATAACGAATGATGTATAAATGATGGGACAGTTTGATTTTCCGTTTTTGAAGAATGAAAACACTATTTAAAAGCACTATTCTCTGTTCATGTGGCAGGAGATTTTCCGCTTTGTAAAAAATGTGGTCACGATATTTTAAACAAGTTTTTTTTATCCACGAGACATTGTAAATATTGACGGCTAGTTCATTTTCCAATTTTGATCTCCTATTATATTTCTGTGGACATCTATCAATTTATACAAGCTTGTGCTCATTAGTTTCGATGCTAAATGTAATGTATTTAGCACCACTGGATTAAAAACAAAATTTATGCTCAGTACTCTCAAGATCTTCTTGGTTCTTCTTTTGCTTTCGAAATTCGTGTTTTATAAAGTTAGCACGCTCGATGAATGGTTTATGATAATATCATTAGATGTAGAATTGAATTTTGAACCAGATGGTGTATTACTTAAATCGAACAATGAAACTCTTTAGATTGTACCGAATTAAAAATAGACAATGGCGTACAACTGTCAGAAAAGTCTTGTGCCTTATTTTCTAATTATTGCTTGAAAAATTGTTCTTTCAATTGTTTTTTATTTTTCTAAAATTTTGAAGTATTGCTAGATGTATTATATTGCGAATTTTGGCGAAACTGTTATTCCAATATATTTTTAATAATTATTCTGTTTTCTGGTATTTGCAGTTCAACAACTGAGTGATTGTCAATCTTTTCGATTTGTCTGTGACAAAAGATATGTATTGAAAGACCAAAGTAAACAGTTTTGTAGATTGAAAAATTTTCTATTGTATAAATTTAGAATGACGTCTTTAAACTGTGTTGGTGTCTTAAAAAAATAAGAAAATTAAAGTGTTCTATGCTTTTTGAGACATGTATTACATGAATGACAATCGAATAAACAACAATAGCTTTGTTCGTTCGATAAGAAATCTTTAGATTGCTATATATTGCCTTCATTGCAATCAACTTGATTTACTTTAGTATTTCATATATTTTTGTACAGCTTTTTAAATAATACAATTGAGTAACCTATAAGAACAATTTTCAAGGTTTTTAACAAGAATTTTCGAAAAAAAAAAACAACTTAACAATTTCAATATAGTGTCTGCAGGTTACGAGTAGGATTTTCTCTTTTATAGAGATAAGTCTATTAATTAGTCTAATTTTGACAATTTTTTATGTGGTTTTTAAAGACTGTGATTACCGATCAGTTTAATTAACAGTTTACCTAATTCAATCATTTTTTCCTATTCTACATGAACTAAACAAACACCCATTAGCATGTCTATTTGAATAGAAGCCTTTTTTCTTTCATTCTTTGTCTTAGATTGTTCGATAATATTTAATGGTGTAAAAATAGGAATGGATTGTTTAGTAAAGTTTTTTTTTTTTCTATTTTGAGAGTCATTCAATCAAAAATGTAATCAAGCAATAACAGTTCTTCTACTTGAAGAGAAAGAAATTCTGTTTGTCATGACTTCTGTGTGATGAATTTTGTATAATACAGTGAATATGGAGTAAAAAGTCTATTTTTATGTTATTCTCATGAACTTTGTGGTATTTTCTATTGAAGTGAATTATTAACATATCTTCCATGGGATTAAAAAGAATAAAAACTTTCATGAATTATATTTTAAAAATACGAAAAAAAACTGACATTTTTAGATAATAAACTGGACGTGTAAAAATTGTTTATATTTTAAGTTGATTGATTAGAATAAAAATTTTAATGAAAATGTTTTTCTATTTTTTAAATTCCTCAATATCAACAACATTATTTTATTATTGATTCTGTAATTTCAATTATATATACAATAACAGACAAGCTATCCTATCTTACTTCGTAAGATAGATTTCATTATTTAATAGATAGAAAATCTTCTAATTATCACATCAATCATTAAAATATTTCTATGTTAATCCTATACCATATGTGCCGTAAAATATAACATATCGTATTTTTCTTTTTTACACGTAAAAATCGAATAACAAATTTATTCCTTGATACTTAAAGATATTTAATGTATGAAAAAAACAGATTATTTGAGAAAAAACACTCTTATGACTTGAAAAAAAACCTTGATAACTTATTACAAAAAAAACACTCGAAATCCTATTCTATAATACAAATAATATTTTTTTTTCTTTTTGTTATTACATCTTATGAAACCTGCTTATATTATTTCATTATTATGTTGTTTGATAAAAATTCCATTGTAACGAATCATCAAAAGCATCATGAACCATTAGTTGAAAAATTTTTTTCAATACAAGATGGATTGATGATTGCCATTTCGGTTGAATATCTTTTTTTATCGTTTGTTTAACACAGTCAGTTTTAGAGTTTTACACCAAAAAAAAATCTCACCAAAAAAAGTAAATTAAAGAAAGCAAAAAGAAAAGAAAAGAGTTGTGAATGTTTTCATAAATCTTTATATACACATTGTTTTTTTTGTTTTTTTGAAAATAGGTTGGTCGCTGAGGTAAGTTTCGTAATAAATAACTCAGATATAGATGATTGAAAAATTACAACTACTGAAACAAACAGGCTAGCATTTGAGTGTTACTCTAAAAAAAGAAAGAGAGAGAGAGGTACATATATAAATTTTTTCATTGAAACAATTGAAACTTGTATTTCATCTGTTGTTTCTATTATTATTGAAGTATGTTTGTGACCTTCAACTAAAAATTTAAATGTATTAATAATAAATCTATATAGATCAATCAGACTCTTCATCGTGATTACAACATTGTATGGAATGGTGAGTATACAAATTTTTGTTCTATTCATAAGCAGATAAGTTTTGAAAAAAAACAATGAACAATTACCGTCCAATTTTTTTAGTACTATTAAAAAAACAAGTAACATGAAAAACAAACTAAACGTACGGTCTATAGAACTATTTATCAGAGATGGAATCAGTTCATTCTTTTTTTGTCAAGTTCAAATTGAATTCTATCACGAGTTATAATAAAGTAACGATATTATTAGAGTATGAGTTTTAAATAGGATTGATTTGAAATAAAAGCTATCTTATCTGTATTATATATACTTTATGTACGGAAATGTGACATAATGAAATTAGAAAATAGTATTGATGTACGAAAGACATAACATGAAAATATTACTTATGACATTGATATGCAAAAACAAGATGTTTTTAACTGTACTTGTATTTTTGAAAATATATTTACCTCTGGAGAAAAAGCCATACAAATGAAACATTCGACAAAAAAGAAATATCTTTTCATATTATTTTAATAGTTGCTTTTATTTGTCTTTAATGCAAATTTTCATCAATGTCTTATGTAGAAACATCTATAGCAGCATTCTTCCACACGTACACTTAATCTATTCGTCCATTAATACATAATCACGTAAAAAAATTGAAAGAGAAATACATACTGAATAAATTTTGATATTTAAAAAGAAAAACAATTACTATCAGATTTTTTTTCTTGTCAAATCGACAAAATATCCATGTTATTAGCAGATCAATTTAAGGTATATACAGTAAGTTTTTTTTTCTATTAGTTATATTTTCTTTCGAACTCCATTAGTGAGATTTTTTATCTTCACCTGAAGAAAATTCAGAATTTTTCCTATATAAATTCATTGAGTTCTTTTTCTCTTAAAGAGCATTTTATAGGTTGCTTTGGTAGAGATTTGATAATGAGTGGAAAAGTAATGTTTAAGATATTAGAGAAAACTTTCAAAATACAAATTAACATAAATTCTTGAAATAATTCAGTTAAGTCAAGCTAAAGACATATCAAAAATGAATACGAACAACAAATATTTGTTATAGATATCTTATTTTTGTTCTCTTATTAACTAAAGTTTCACGTCAAAAAAAAAACAACAGATAAACCAACAAATTTCATGTTCAAAACTACTAGAAGTTATGTCATAACTGTTTTATTAATTCGTTATGCGATGTTCCGACTATAAAAATGAAGGGATGACAATTGTTATTGTTTTCGGTTGTCTCCTGAAGTACAAAACAAAACAGACAAAACTTTTATTTTCATTTTTCAAGTTGAAAAATAAACAACTAGTTGTTCGTCATCTTTCATTCGCACTATTCCATTTTACATTAAAATAATTTGAATGTCTTCTGAAATAATGATGTACTCTAATATAATGCTAAGAATTTCTTTATAAATTTTCTAGATCAAGATGAAATTATTTTTTTCTTGTATAATTAATTGCATTCAAAAAAAAAAAGCAATTTTTTTGTTTATTACGTGTAGAAATAGTTAATAATAATTCACTCGTGTCCGATA